TTTTTCTTTTGGCCAAACCGGGGATTGAATTCAGGCCCTTTCGCTTGCCAGACAAGTGCTTATTCTACTGAGTCATCTCCCGGGTCCCAAACAGCTGTTTTTAAAAGTTGGGAATAATTTTTAAAAGATTTGTCACATGATTTCTACATGAAGCAGGTCAAAGAGAAGCTGCTCCATCTCATGGGTGAAACCCTCTTTGTGTTTTGCACACTACTTTCCAAGGATAACTAATTCAGTGGACTTCAGGGTCCACACACCAACACCTGCTTCTCTTCCAGGGACCCCTTTTTCTCTTTAAAACTCTAAAACTCTGTCTCCACTGGATCCTGCAGGGAAGAAGTGGTCAGGTAAAGACCACTCATCTCAGATTGCATTAGTTCTGAAATGCTGGGTTTATTCTTAGCACTGTGATTCTATCTTTTAACACATCTCATGTGACACAGACCCCAGGGGCCAAAGAGCACTCACAGGAACCAGTCCACTGCTATGATCAGCGTGATGTCTTCTGTGGGCAGCCCGACTGACGTGAGCACAATGACCATAGTGACCAGGCCCGCCTGGGGGATGCCGGCAGCCCCAACACTGGCCGCTGTGGCAGTGATGCTTCAGAAGGAGAGAGAATATAAAAATTCAGGAGGAAAGACAGAAAGGAAGAAGGGAAAGGGGTCAGCTCTCCCAAGATGCCTTAAAAATTAAATTCTTAAGCCAGAAAGAAAGATATTGCATGTCCTCACTTATATATGGAATCTTCAAAAGTTAGACTCATGAAAGTAGAGAATAAAATGATAATTGCCAGAAGCAGGGGATTTGGGGAAAATGGAGATGTTGGTTAAAGGACACAAAGTTTAGATTATAAAACATTCACGGACAGCATGGTGACTATAGTTAATACTGTATTGTATACTTGTAATTTTGAAAAAGAATAGACCTTAAGCATTGTATCAAAAGGGAAGGAAAGGACTAAAAGAAAAGTAACCATGTGAGATGATGGATATGTTAATTAGCCTGTGATAATCATTTTACAAAGTATCTATATCTCAGATCACACTGCACACCTTAAAAACATACAATTTTTATTCATTGTTATACCTCAATAAAGCTGGAGATCAAAATAACTGTCTATATTTGCATCTAAAATGTATTGCTGGTTTTGTAAGAACTATACATGTTTTTTATTATTTTTTCATTATTTAGAGAATACTTTATTAGTTTCTGTAATCAAACCCACATAGATAAGACCTTACATATTTAGTACAGTGCGTTACCCCTGTACAAATGGAAAAAAAATTAAGTTTTAATGTTTCTTGACCAATATGGCTGTTAATTTCTGTACAATGCCAACTCAATACGGTAACCTGGGATAACTTTTTCCAAAGTTGACAGCACAGTTAAAGTTTCCAAAAATTCAAATTATATATATATGTATATATATATATTTATATATATATAAAAAGACCAATAATAGCAGTATGTTATGCATCAATAGCAGCAACAGCTTTTCCAGGTTCTGCAGTCATCCAAACAAAATTATAGACATCCAGCACACTCCTATACATGTTTTTTAAGTGCATGCTTATAACTGCAACAGTTCACCTACCGGCATTTCAAAGTATATATGTAGGATAGTTTTGATAATTGTCCTGCCAATTCCTGCTGGTCTTTTGGTTTTTAGTTTTTTAGACTTTTTGTTTGTTTTACTGTATTTTGTGCAGGGTCTCACTACACAGCTAAGATTCATAGTGATCCTCCTATTTTCAGCCTCCCAGTGCTGGGATTACAGGTGTGCACCACCACTTCGAGTCTCAGTGGATGGCTCAGTGCACCCAGGGGTGGGGCTGGTGTGGCCAGGGATTGAAACTTAGTCGCTGCACCTGCCTAAGCAGGCACTTAGTCCATGGAGCTATCTTGCCAACCCACCTGCTGGTCTTTTGAAAGAAGCAGTTAATGCTTAACTTTTTTTTCTTATTTTTTTTCCTTTTTAATTTCTTATAACGTTGTTGTTGTTGTTGTTGTTATATTTTCTAACCAATCTTACAAGTTTATATCTGGTAACCTACACAACTAATTTGAGATAACATCTTGCAATACAGCAACCATTATTGAATTTCTATTGCTTTTTAAATGAAATTTTGTATCATTTCCATTTTTTTAATATTTGTATTCTTTTTTTTTCTTTTTGCAGAACAAGGGTTTGAACTCAGGCCCTGGCGCTTGCCAGGGAAGCCCTTATTCTACTGAGCCATCTCCCCAGCCCTCTATTTGTATTCTTTTAAAAATAAAATAAAAATAAAAATTTTGGTATTCTGTTCATTCATTACCTTTAATCACCTCAAGTCTAAAGGATATTTTGTTGTATGTGTAAAGTGTATTATAGCAGTGTAGTAGTTAATAAAATACTATTTTTTATTTTGGAAAAAAAAATTGCAAATGGGAAGATGACCAAAGGATAGAGCTGGGAAGAAAGAGGGAGGAGAAGAGGATGAAAACATATGAGAGGTGTTATGTTCATAAATCAGCTCCACATGAGAACTGCAATTGTTACATACTGCAAACATAGATTAATAAAAGCAAAAATTGGGAGTGGGGAGACAAGCTTCAAATAGAAAAGTACTTAAATACAACTCATGATACTGGAGGTGCAGAGATTCTGGGCTACATTCAACCTAAACCTGCCTGTTCCTAGATCCTATTTCTTGCTAAAATAAAAATTGTTAACTTTTTTAAATAAATTAAAAGTAGGGATTCAGACAAGACAAACTAGATGTTAAATCTGTGTCAACTGATTGGCCAGTATGGCATGTTAAGAAGGACTCTGAAAGCCACTGAGCTTACCAGGAAAGGCGTAGTGCCCCACAGGTGTCACCTACACCTCTGCCTGTTGGCCTCTGAAACAGCTTTTAAAATCCTACAATCATAAACATGGAGCCACAGCAGAGGCTTGTTCCAGATGGCTCTATCGGAACAGTGATGGAGCAAATGCTTGGACCACAGACCATACCGGCCTTTGGAGTTCACACGGCACTCCTAAACTGCACAAACTTGGACATGAACTCAGAGCCTTCATTTCTTCATGCTTAGGGGGAGAAGCATGGGCCCGCCTTCTTAGTGAATGATAAAAGATCACAGGGCTAGAACATAACAATTGGTTCAGAGGTATCAGTTATTGCTATCAAAAAATATAAAATTTCAATTTAAAAGTCACCAATTTCTCCTCTGTTTATCCTATTTGGATTTGAATTCCTTGGGAAAAGAAAAAAGAGTACAGAGTTTTACTAGTGGGGTCTTAGGAGGAAAATTATTACCAGCATCTGAAAGGAGGAATTCTTTTGCTTCCTAATGCTGGACTACCACAAACCGTGATCTGCATGTGCCCTCTGGAGGCAGCCAGCTCTCTGAATGGGATGAGCTAATTTTACATGGATCTAAGATGCCAATTGAAAATTCCTCAGATTGAGTTTAGATAAGCAGCTAATCACTACCTGTGATTAAGTATTACCCAGTAAATCTCAAGTTGGCCCATGTCACCACATCTCCCCAGAGGTCCCAGAAGGTAGAAGTGAAGTTCAATCTCCTGGTACCTTTAAAAACACTCACTGAACAGTTTCCCACCCTCTCCCTTTTCCTAAATTTCCCTACTCCCACTAGTGTCAAAGTTTCCCCATGAGAAGTATTCATTATAATATTTGGGGTTCTGGCCAAAAAAAAACAATTCAAAGTGTTCCTTTGAAATTGTCTTTATGCTACTCCTCTCTGCATCCTCACTTTCCCCTAGAAAGGGATGAATGTCCTACCTGCCACATGCCCAAAAACACTTGGCTGGATTGGTTAAAGAGTGTTTGAGAGTTTACACACCTATAATATTCAATAACGGAACTTAGAAAAAATGGGGTATACAGATGAATGTCCATTTTGTATCTGTGTATTCAAAGTGGTTAGGATAGATATATAGTTGCATTCTCTTAATGAATAGAATGATTTGTTCTAATGGTGTTTGTAAATAGGATCTCAAGTCCGCATCTTGTACAGCAATTAACCACTAAGAAGAATATATGCAGTGTGTTATTTGTTGAATCTGTACTTCCGATTTGATTTGAAACTGTCTCATTGCTATCAGTTTATCAATAAATTTTTTTTAAAAAGAGTGTTTGATAAAATCCATACTCAACTTTCATCACCTCCAAATGCTCCACAGCTTCCATTGAGGTTACATTCTAATGAATTTCAAATGCACTGAATACACCTAAGCACCACAACCTAGAAATTCAGTAGAATATCTGTTGTTTTCCCTTATATGAATAGGATCTGTAGTTCAGCATCTCAAGAGAGTCTTACCACATATCTTTAGCCTGGGGAGAGGTTCAAATTCATATTTGAAGTATGGTTTCCACAAAATATGTGTGGCATTCATACTGCTATAAAGTCAAAATATCATAAATTTCCAGGCATGGTAGCACTTGCCTGTGGCTCCAGTTACTCAGCATACTGACGCAGGAAGATCACTTGAGCCCAGGAGTTCAAGACCAAACTAGGCAACACAGTGATACTCTATCTCATTAAAATAAAATTATTAAGCCATCACAAATCAGGACTGTCTGTAATAGAGATTACCACAGAAGAACATCCTTCCCTAACAAATCTTGCATTCCACAGGGATAGGTAGACAATATGCAACATGAGTAAGTGAAATACATACTAAAGTGGGTGGTGCTATAGAGGTAAAAAGCCAGCCTCAGAAAGCCAATATGTCCCATGTTAGACAGGGATTCCCTGAAAAGATGACATTAGGACAAAGAACTGAAGGAGATAAAACACTCCTTCTATTTGTCTTTAAGTTGAGTATCCCTTATCTGAAATACTTGGGGCTAGAAATATCTCATGTCTGGGGCTATTTTTCAGATTTTGGAACACTTACAGACACATGATGTGTTATCTTGGGAAAGGGCTGAAAATATAAACACGAAATTTATTTATGTTTCACACATACCTTGCACACGTAGCCTGAAGGTACTTTTTCAGTTTTTATTTTTATTAGTACATGTTTGCAGTACATAATGATCCCAATACCCTGGGGGAGTTGGTACATGCACATCACACACCTCAGCTCTCTTTTCACCCTCTTCATATCTCCTCTCTTCCTCCTCCCTCAATTTCCTGTTCTCTTTCCCTTTTGAAAAATATCTCTCACTCTTTCCTACCATCCATCTTTTAGCTTGCTCCTTATTTACATTTTGAGTTTTTCTTATGAAAGGAACCATGCAACACTCAAGAGTATGTCTCTGTTTTATTTCACTTAACATCGTAATCTCAAGGTGCATCCATTTCCCTGAAAATTACTCAAGTCTATTCTTCTTTATGACAGAGCAGTGCTGCTGGTAATTTTAAACAATAGTTTCAACAAAATCTGTGTATATTCCACCATCAAAGATCAAGGGTGGGATTTTACACTTATAGTGTCATGTCACAATTCAAGACGCTTGTTTTTGGAGCACTTCAGATTTCAGATTTTCAGATTAGGAACATTCTATTTGTGATGGCTAAATCAGAACCAAAAATGGAGCCCAGGGATCTATATTTACAATAAAATCCTTGGGTTCTTGTACTGTACCAGCCACTTTCAAAAATCTAGGTCAAAAGAAACTCTACCAAAATACCATATGAGAAAAGAAAGGATCATCACCAGGTCTTACCAGCCCTAATAGACACTTCTCACCTCCAGCTTCAATATCTAAATATAATTTAGATATAGAATGTTCCTCATATATCCAGAGGTGGGGCTTTTGGAAGATAACTGGATCATGCGAGGAGCTACACTCATGGATGAATCTATAGCTGAATAGAGGAAGTGGGGCTGGTCAGAAGAGGTAGGTTCCTGGGGACATAACCTGGAAAGCCATATAACCCTTTCTGGTTCTTCTGTTCTGCTGCTCGCTGGCCACCATACTGTGAGTAGCTTCCTTCTGTGGGATTCTTCCACGGTGTCCTTCCCACCTTGGATCCAGCCAACTGTGGACTGAATCCTCTAAAAGCTGTAAACTAAAATAAACCTCTCTTCAAGTTGTGGGTGCCATGTATTGTGTCCATGGCATGAAGAAAGTAATTTAAAACAGCCTCGTTATGTGTGTGGTACTGGTGGCTGAACCTGGGGCCTTTATCATCCCTAGTCTTTTTTTGAGATGGTCCCACTAAGTTGCTAAATTGCCCAACTTGGAATTTGGCAATAGTCCTACCCCAGAGTCCCAAGGTTCTGGGATTACTGGTGCACACCTCCCCACCTGGCTCAGAAGTCTCTTGTAACTTCCAGTCATGGCTTTGTCCTCCCCCCAGCCAAGCTGATGACCTCACAGGCCTTGCCCTCCAGCAGGTCCCACCCAAGCCCACTCACCTGATGGTGGTGATCTGGCCCAGGTTGAGCTCATAATTATTGACTTGAGCAATAAAGATGGCAGCCAAGGCCTCATACAGTGCAGTGCCATCCATGTTGACAGTGGCCCCCACGGGCAGCACGAATCTGGTGATGCGTCGGTCCACACCCAGGCCTTCCTCTAGGCAGCGGAAGGTGATGGGCAGGGTTGCAGAGCTGGGAAAGAGAGCCCTGGGTGTGAGAACAGGCAGTGGGAGGGCAGAGCTGGAGCAAGAATGTGCAAAAGGGTCAATAATTTCTGACATTGCCAGTTAAACAGAAGACCCAATGCTATTATGGTCTACTGGACTCTTTTAGAATATTTTGCTGAGTTTACACACCTATAATATTCAATAATGGAACTTAGAAAAAATAGGGTATACAGATGAATGTCCA